TTGTAGTTTGAACCTTTGTGTTTTCCCGCCAATCTAGGTCAGGCGGAGCTCAAATACAATAGAAAAAAAAAGTTGTACAGTGATCTATCGTCATCCTCGAGACCAGTGAAATTTTCTACTCTCTCTGTTGTGGATCCAAATTTTAGAATATTCATTCTGAACACTCAGAAGAAAGGGCATAAAGAGGCGCTTCTTACTCGATTTGTATTTTGTTGAGCCGAAGGTATTGTTGGGAAACTTTTCAAATCCGAAGTGGAGCAAAAAGGTTGATGAGGAGTGAAACAATACCATGCCCACCTCAAACTCGGATACATCATCGGACGCAGTTGCTTGTGATTTGGATGAGTTAATGGTCGAGATTGAGGAGATTATTGAAAGACCTTCGAGTCACCCATCCCTCCTCAAAGAGCAGTGACAAGTAAAATTGAGGAGATTCCACGAAATGTGTCATCTTCGCCAATTATGGGGTCTGCCACTCATCCACAAAGAAATAGCAAGAATAATTTGTATGCTAATTTGAATAATCATGTAAATTATCCACCCGCCCAACCTCAAACACTCACAAGTGCTGCTTCATTCAAGAGACCACATCATTTGAATCAGTTTGTTCAACATTCTCCGACAAATAGAAAAATTAATGATCATCATGAGTTAGACAAGATTATGAACGAGTTATTAGAAGAGCCAATATCTCCTCTGGTGAAGAAAAAGAATTCATTTTCCAAAGTTAATGCATTTCAGGTCCTTTCTCCGAGTAATGGTGGAACTCATCAAAACTCAGCACAAAAGATCAGCTCCTCTGCAATAACGACTCATAATAATATTGGACATTTCCACACAACCTCACATCACGACACTAGTAGCGGTATTGCGTCAACACCAAGAAAATGTTCAGCTGCCTTCATTGGAAATAGCTCAGATGGTTTAGGTATCAATACGTACATGTCTTTTAAAAGATGTGATGACTTGCGATGCATGAAATGTGATTTCAAAGTCATCATCTTTGATGGTAAGAAGTGGAAATCTGATGTGAACTATCTGTTTTTCAGAAATAACTATCCAGATACTGTTAAAAAGGGTTTGAAGAAAAGGACTTTCCAGATTATTCGAGCTACTGTTGTCAATGCACCTGGATATCTGTGAATGAGAGAATGAATTTGAAAAACATACCATCAATTCACTGGTATTGTGGAGGCCACAAGTAACAAAAATCTTAATAGTGATCTAATTGTTTGAAACTAAGAATTATTGTGAACCCTTACGAGTTGCAGAATCATGAGAGTAGAGAGAACCACAAATGAAAGAGGACGATTCGATGATCTTTAATCTGCCCATTGGAAAAATTTTGAACAATCACCTTCTTTGTTGGAGCATTTGTAGAAATGTCTTCCTTGATTGTCTCCGGCCTTCTTACACACAAGCTTGATGGCAAGCTGTCCACAATGAGGGCAATTTACCTTATCGTTACTTCCACTTTGGTTTGAATTGCGTTGAGAGGTTTGCTCCCGTGCTTCTGATCGTTTGTGAGATGAGTAGGCGTTGCTTGGTGATGTCCCTGAATTGGTGCTAGATGGATATCCAGAGGGTGATGTGTTAAAGTCCCTACCAGTTCTTTTTCCAAGCATTTTATCGAGGGTAATTTGGTTAGCCGTACTCGATGGGCTTTTTCTCAAGGTAGTATGCATAGTTGTTGTTTGAGGAGAGGTTCGAGTGGACTGAAAGGAAGCTACCGTTCTGGACCTTCCTGTATTAATGTTGTTGCTGTTACTATGAATGGCTACAGAACCAGATTCATTATTTGAATCAGTCTGATTAAGAGCACTAAGGCTAATACTGAAAATCTCATTAAAATCAGTGTCACAAAAA